ATCAGGGAGAAACCGGGGTCAACCTGGATCCGGTCTACCCGAACTGAGCCGATGTATCCTATGAAGTATAAAGGTCTATCGTGCTTCGGGTTCTTCACAAACATGTCTTCTGGGGAGAACGTGATATGCGGCATCCGTCCTCTAAAGACTTGGTGGCATTGAGGGCATGCTTCCTGTGTTTTTTCTGTTGGGATTAGCGAAATATGAGCAAGGAACGCCTCATTATCTGCTAGTGCCTCGCGCAGAGCTTCCCTCGTTGATCTGTATAAACGTAGAAGCTCGAATAACGTGATTCTTGTCGGGATGTTGGCTAGCTAGGCCAACACATCAAATTGAAAAGGACTTTTTGAGCTTTCAGGAGTCTCCTTCCTGAGTGCTTTATTATATCGGAACACCTTTGCTTTTGGATCATTGGTGGGTAATTGCATCTTCTTTGCTACTTCCTCCATTGGCTTTAGTGAGTTGTTTCCTGCCTCAGGATATTTCTTCAAGTACTCCTTTCCACTACGAGTTCCTAATGTCTGAATAGGTTGTACGATGAATGCTGGATGTTCATCATCGGAACTGCTGAGGGAAGCAGTTTCAACCCTTATCTGGGATGGCAGAAACAACATTATAGGACTTCTGCTTTGCCTTGGACTTCTTTGAACTTGTCGACGCCCATTGCTCATCTCTAAGTAGGTCAGGATGGACCCATAAGACCTTGCCTTTCGAAGTAGTGTAGGGTCCTTTTGGTGGTGAGGATCAAGATTCAGGACCCTAGTCTCTGCTCGTGGGATCGGTTTCACACCATTTTGTACAAGAAGCTCCGGGAAGCCTATGAACCGCAAGAAGACCATGTTTGCAGACACCTTCTTTTGTTCGGATTGAAGGGTCATGACGCCCGCGTTTAATAAATCTTGGATTTTATCCTTCAGGATGTAGCATACCTTCGTTGGGTGATGCACCAACTTGTGGTACATACAGCAATTAGGATCATCCGTCCTTGAAGTCTCCTCAGGTTTCTTTAATTCTAGAAGCTTGAACTTCTTCATCTTGATTAACATCTTGAGAATCGTGACTACCTGCTCATCTTTGAAGTCATACTGCTTCTGGAAGAAATTATCTGAAGGATTACCCTTTTGCTTTGAAGAGGGTTTGAACGAGGAAATGGTTTCCACTGCCATAGTATCCTTCCCCTTTGAATGGGTTTTAGGGATGAAGTTGCCTTGGTTAGCACCCCCTCTTCTAGGATGAGATTCACGTGGCTCTTCAGCATCTAACCTCTTGAGCATGCTTTCAACTTGTTCCCATTACTAGATCAAGTATTTCCATGAATGATCTTCAATAGCGCCCATTTTGGATAGTATACTGATGGAGAGATTGCTCCGATACATCTCGATAAGAGTAGCCTCCGAGACCTGATCACGGGAATGCAGTGATCGGTTCCTAAATCTTTTAACAAAGTCACTGATTGACTCTGTCTTCTTCTGCCTCTCAGCTAGCAGAGTGGCCATAGATACTTCTGTATCATCATCGAAGAATTCGACCATGAAGAGCCTCTTCACGTCCTTCCAACAATTGATGGACCCAGGCTTCAACCTACGTAACCACTTAAAAGCAATTACCTTGAGGGTACTAATGAACAATCGAGTTATAATAGGATCATTTCCCACTATATGCCTAGTTTGTGCTTGAAAATAATAGATATGTTGGGTAGGAGAGCCCGTGCCATCGAATTGTAGGAGGCTGAGTGGCTTGAACTTTGGAGGATAAGGAACTACGTCCCATTTAGTAGGGTATGGTCTAGTCATCCCCAGTTCTCTAAAATTTCTCTGAAATTTCTCTGAAGCTTCAAAGCATCAAGTTGCTTCTGAAAGTCACCCAACTTCTGGTCTTGATATTTCTTGCGAGGATTGAATTCGACTTCTAATGATTCAGAATAAGCTTTCGGAGTTTCCTCTTCATCACCCCCTGTGTTGATGTCTTCTTGGTTTCAATGGCTAGATCCCCCAGCTTCAGGTGAAGGTCGCCGATATCATGATTTCGAATCTTCTCCGAAACCTTTCTTCTTTTTCTTCTTCTCCTTTTCTTAAGGAGCTTGTCTATCATCTCTCTCATGAGCTTGATAGTTTCATGTTGTTGGAGAAGAGTAGCTTTTTTTCTCCTCTAATCTTTTTTGCCAGGTCCTCTACATTTCCAGCCATATGAGCATTCGCACGTCCACTTTGATCAATTCTGGTTGCTTGGGAAGTGGCAATGGATGAGTTGTCAAGCTCATCCTCGGTATCGTTAGAAACATCTGCCAAACATTGGTAATCCAATGGAGTTACCGAGCCTATACGGACGCGGGTGTGTCAAAAGATACCTTCTGCTCAATAAATAACCCCCTCAGCCCCAAAGAGAATTCAGGATTAGAGGAATCAGAAGGTCCAACTGGTCCTTTGCCTTTACCCTTGCTGGTCATGTTGACTGTAACTTTAGCGGGTTCATTCTTGGGAATTTGTTTTCTGGGATGAAAGCATCTTCTCTTGGATGACGAGACTCCTAGCGGTCCAGACAGTCGCTCAAAGACAGAGGGCTTGGGTGATGGCCCCCCGCACTGAAATTTGGCGAGTAATGTGGAGATGAGCCTTTCACAGTTGCAATGAGATTTTATTTGGCTTAGACTGCGTTTACAAACCATGTAATCGCGGAGATCAGCAACATGACCACCCCCTGTTAACTCAGGTAGTTTGGATGTGCATGCACAAGAATCTCTAAGTGTTAGAGATTTACGAGTCTGACTGGCTGGACGAGCCTCATGTGTGATACGAGGTTCGTAAATTAGGCAAGCATCGTCACTCATGCGAGCATTAATATTTGGGCGAGCCTGGTGATGAAATTGTCGTCTCGGACGAGTCTGGACTTAGCAACTTGAAAGTGGCCTAGTGGTGGAGCGAGCTCTATGCTGGAGGCGAGGTCTGTCATCTTGATGTACCTCAGTTCTACCAACCTCGACAGTAGGACGAACTTGGTTTGGGAGACAAACTTGGTGTCTTGGACGAGCCTCGTGTTAAAGACGAGGCTCATCTGGACGCACTTAGATGCACGAGCAGTGATGATGAGGTTTGCGTTATGGGCAAGGTTCGTTATTTTGACGCACCTCAGTTGGGCGAGTCTCAACTAATTTACGAGATCTGGCCACGTCATCTCGGGGCCGATAGTGGAAGCCATCCAGAGAAGCTAAGGTGCAGGCTTCACGACGGGCTTGATTTTGGCGTCGACGTCATCTTGCCCTTTTCGACAGCAAATTGGCCTCGAGCTCCACAATAATTGAAGTTTGTTTGGGTTGTTTAACGACCCATTGCTTAGTCTGACGGCTATTTCTTAGAGTCTTGTCAGTCAAAGGCAAGGATTTCTCCTCAAGGCAAACTCGGGTTGAGTTGCCAGTAGCCGAATTGGCTAGAGTCTCGCGAGAGACTTTGCGGCACTTGCATGCTTTGGCAGGAGGAGAGGAATTCCTCGTACTTGGATTGATCGAACTCGATGAAGAGGGTTTCAACGTCAGTTCCCATGACAATCTTGTCTGACTGTACCATGATCATTTCTTCAAAGAAAATGATATCTCCCACTATGGTCGCCATCTTCTGTAGGGTCCCAAAAAAGACGATACGATTAGTTCTCCATCTTCTTGGTTGTAAGAAAAGATTCTATCACTTGGTAAAAATCTTTTTTTATAGTCGTTCTTTTTCAAGTACAGAAGAGGAGAAGATTGATTCGACTTCTCCTTTGTTTAATGTGGGTTCGATGTGATGATGAGATGCCTCGCTCGATGCTTGTGTCGAGCTTACTTCTCGTTGACGATCGGAGCAAGATTGCTTCCAACCTGAGGAGGAAATTAGCCTCTTGATGAGTGTTGTAGCTGCTTGCGGCTGTTATTGCCTCTTGACGTGTGTGCGTCTGATCTTTTGGGCCTCAAAACTCGATTCCTAGGGTCTCCAAAAGTCCCCTCTTTCATAGCTGTTCACGGCTATTTATAAGCGTTCAGTACGTAATTGACGCTGAGATCATGGGATCAGGAGCGTAACTGACTCCTTAGATTTAGCCCATGTAGGCTGACTGAGTCTTCATGGCCGTTAGCCTCATGGCATCGAGCTTCGCTTGATGAGATGAGCTTCACTGCGTTGCGAGATTCGTCTGATGAAACGAGCCTCGCTGCGTGGTGAGGTTCGCCTAATGAGGCGGGTTTCGCTGCATGGCGAGCTTTGTCTTTGATGGTTAGGCATGGCTATGTGTTGAACTTCGTATTCTGGGGCGAGTCTTGTTGACTGGCGAGGTTTGTCTCTGGATGAACTTCGTCTGACGAACTTCGTCTTCTGAATGTGCTTCATTTTCTATAGGGGTTTCGTCTCCAATGATGAGCTTCGTCTTCAATGACGAGCTTCATTTTCTGAAGGAGTTTCGTCTCCTGAAGGATAAAGCATTGAGAGCCTTGTCTCTGGGCCAACTTCGTCTCTAATGACGAACTTCGTCTTCTGAGGGGTGAGGCTCTATGAGTCTCGTCTTAGCTGAGACGACCCTCATTGACCGAGGCGAGTTTCGTCATTGTGACGACCCTCATCATGCTTGTAGCGAGCTTCGACACTCCTTTGTCCCTCGGCATTTTTTAGTGCCAACATGCCCTTTTTTGGGCCGAAACATGAAATCATGGAGTGACATCCTTTTAGTCAGGCCCGGATTAGTACTTCATTTCCTACTAAGATTCGAAGTTGTGCTGCTTTAATACCATGTCAAAGGACCCTAACGCCACGCTAAAGTTCCAAAAGTAATAGTGTGAGCCGAGGGTTGTAATTATGTACTCTAACACTGTCAATGCGATACCTATCAGTGCACTGGATAGCCTTACTAGACAGTGATGATGCATGCATCAATAATGGGGCTAGACTTTTTTCCTCCTTGTTCACTCCGAACCCTATGCACTCAATGACAATAAAAAGTCCATCTCAACACACCAGATCCTCAAACCCAAAGAAGGAACAATGTCCACTAAAACCCTCCTCCTTTCTCTCCTCCTCCTCTCCTCTCTCCACACTTCCTCCTTCGCATTCAAGCCCAAGTTCATCCCTCCCAAGCTCCCTCCCCCAGACCCCTTCTGCCCGAGAGACGTCCTCAAGCTCGGCACCTGCGCAGACTTGCTCGGCAACGTGGCGAGTGTGGTGGCCGGAGAGCCTCTCGGGGCAAAATGCTGCGCTCTGCTGCAGGGGCTGGCGGACGCCGAGGCGGCGCTCTGCTTGTGTACCGCGGTTAAGGAGAGCGTGCTCGGCGTCCTGACGGCCGAGTGGTCGGTGGCGGTGAGCTCGGTTGCTAGCTCTTGCAAGAAGGAGATCCCTGACGGTTTTAAATGCGTCTAGAGGCTTCGTGCCTGTTCGTTGCGGAGCTCCTTTGTGTCTGTTATCTTATGTTGGATTTTCTTTGTATCTGTGTTTGCTGTGATGAGCAATGCTATCTAGTTGATGGGTGTGTTTGTTAGTATTTGAACTGCGGACGGAAATTTGGTGGCAAGAAATCTATTACTGATGGGTTTTTTGCCCCCTTTATGAAGTCTGGAGTAGCTGCATCAAAGATGCATTTGGTCATTAAGGTTAATTTTCTAGTAGCGCTCCAAGATTAATTAATTCAGGGTACTGGATTGAGTTCGGTGCATCTTGGCTCTATGGATTTCATGTTTTCCGAAGTAAATATTTTCCCACACTGTATTTTGGTATAAATAGAGTCCCGTAAAGATCCCTCCGATAACTTTTGATGTTGGTGTCAGATATCAGGTTGCAATTTACCTGTCATAGTGCTTGATGATGGGGATGTCAACTCTTGATGATAGCTAGAGAAAGAGCTTTGCTACAGAGACCCAAAATATGAGACCAATAGGGGGGACAAGTGAGGTGTCCCCCTCCTATTGCCTAATGAGCTAGCTATCATTAATGATGGGCAACTTATTATGCAATAGGAGGGGGACAACTCACCTGTCCCCTTGTTGGGGACCATATTTTGGATCCTTGGGGAATTTTTCCTAGAGAAAGTATACACAGGTCTCGGTCTCCGTCTCGGTCTATCGCATTAATTAATGATGGGTTACCTGTGTGTTTACGCTTACGTTAGTGGACTTTGAGATTTGTGTATTGATCCAAGGACGGGCGTATCTTTGATATACCAATAATGCAAATAAGTTGAGATCGAAGAACTAGTCAATAATATTGCAGAATGCAAAGGTCGCAGATTTGCATGCTCTTCAAAATTGCCAACAGATATTATGTAATTGTCCGTTTGATCACGCATAAAGAGGAAAACTTTAATAGGACTTCCGAACAGGCCGGCTGGCATGAATATGGGTCCAACTATTTACACTCCCAAACAGTAACTTTGGGGGTGTGTGAGGACTAAATTTCCCTTCTCCCAAACCAAAACAGGCCAAGTCCATTCCAGAAACACCCTCAACATCAAAAGGGCATTTTCGGTAATCCAACTCTCAAAATTACTGTTTGGGAGTGGATATAGCAAACATGCATGAATACGCATAAAGAGAAGAGAGAATTGGAGGGGTAAGATGATATCTACTTGAGCTCTCTCAAAGGGTCTTGTTACTGCACCTGCAGAAGAGTATTATGATTAGGCTTGAGGGTGTAATTTAATTTATACTCTAATAACCATATCAATTTGTTGGACATGCAGATGATCTAATTTGATAAAAAATGTCTTATACTACTTTCTGATAATGGAGAGGATTCAAATCCTGTAGTCTACAAATATTTTGATGGAGAATCGCGTATAAGGTGTTGTTTGGTTGGTTTACCAGAAAGGCATGAACCCTATTTTATGGCTTGTGAAGCCCATTTCTGAGGATTTGGGGATAAAATCGGTTTCATGAAAAAATTGATGCGGTGGGTCTTTTTAAGACCTCTTTTACATAAATTATCATACCAACCAAACATAAGAAACGTAAGATCGGCTTGAGATATTCAGAATTTATGTGGCAAACAAAGAAATAACTTTCATCCTTTTGCAATGCGAACCAAACAACCCCCAAGGGAGATATGCCATCATAGTCTACAATAGAAACTTCTCTCCTTATTTACTGCAAAAGAACATCATATAACATATCATTTTCATCTATTTTTTTGTCTTGAAAATGCATAATTATTAATTTCAGACCTTGCAACTCTTCTAATTAATGATCAAACAAAGCCTTGAGGAGTTCAATACTTGATTGGAAGGGAATAATTCACAAACTTACAGATTAAACAAGCATTACAATGTCATTCAAACAACATCACAGAATTGGGAAGGCTTACTTGTTCCAAGCCATCATAAAAGTACAAATTAAAAGAAAGAATTTAAGGTGAAACTAAAGTTGCATAACTTAATTGGACATCTTCTCATGTCTCTGCATCAATTCAACCCATGCGGATGACCTGTAATTACAAACAAATATATATATCAGCAGAGATAAAACTTAGACAAATATATTTAAATTAAAAAATAATTTATAATGTTTCAATTTAGAACCTCTTAATAAAAGATGATTCGTTATCATACTTGCCAGAACCATAAATCTCGTTAGTAAATGATGAGGATAGAAACACACAGTGGATCTCTTCACCAAAAAAATCAGTGAACATATTTAAGAATATATTTCAAATAAACTACTATTAACTTTTTATCGTTTTCCAAAAATATCATAAATTATTTTTTCTAGAGTAACGTTAAATTAACTTCTAAACTTCTGGAAAGATATCACATACAACATCAATTACATGTCGTAAAACAAAACTGTTATGAATGTTCAGATAAAATCACTAAACTACCATAATTATTCATAAATTTACTACTTTGGTCATAAAACTAACTTGTAGAGTATATACTACGTAATATATGTGTAAAATTTTGAGACACCCCTAAAAAGTTTGGAAATGTTACTCGACCCTCGAAGTTTTTTGCGTTTTTCCTAAATCTATTTTCAGATAACCCTTAATATTTTGGGTTTATCTTAAAGAGTAAAAAGTTTGAGGTTAAGTGATATTTTCAAACATTTTTACGGGTTAGCCAAAGCTATTGTAGGTTCTGTGAAATTTACGTACCCTTACTATTTTTCAGTAGGGAGTTCAACTATGCGCAGGTGTAGCCTGGTGGTGGGGTTTTGCCGCAAGTCACCAACAATTCAAGCGCAATAGGGATATAAACATCCACTCCAAGTGCCTTAAGCTTGATGCTAGTGCACAAGCACGCCGCTGCCTCCGCTGAAGCCAGCCCGGCGATCAGTGGGCAGCAATGAACCGCAGGGTCGCCGACGTGCACGACATGGCGCAGCATGTCAAGGCACGCACCGAACTTGAGGGTGTCGATAGGACATGTCACCTTTGCGGGACCTGGTGGGCATGGAGGCTTCACCCCCGGAGGCGACGGAGGTTTCGTGGACGGCGGGTTGAGCACTGGAGGGATGTCGATCGGTGGTTTCCCGATGACCGGAGGGATGTCGATCGGTGGTTTCCCAATGATCGGCGGGATGCTAATTGCTAATTGGTGGTTTCCCGATGACCGGAGGGATGGTGATGGGTGGTTTCCCGATGACCGGAGGGACGGTGATGGGTGGTTTTCCGATGACCGGTGGCACCTTAGGGAGGTCAATGGGCGGTTTTCCGATGACCGGGGGTAGTGGAGGGAGGTCAACGGGTGGTTTTCCGATGACCGGAGGTATGGGGAGGGGGCCCACAGAGGGAGGGTTGGGCTTAGAGGATGGAGGGCAGTTCCCTAGGGTTTGAGAGGCCAGAGAGAGGATGAGAATGAGGAAATAAGGCGTGAGCTTAGTGAACTCCATTGTGATGAGAGAGTGCGAGTGCAGAGCGTAGCTAGGGTTTGGTTTTGTTTTTATAGAGGGAGGAGGGTTATTGTGAAGGGACAGAGCACGTGAAGATCAAGGTATTGCCAGTGAAGATGGTTGGCTCTTCGTTGCATATTGTGAAGCTACGAGCCCATGTATGCATCATCTCTTCAATCATTGTTCTCTTCTTTGTACTGCATAGTGCAAAGTATTTTTTAAGCTAGGTTTTGGGTGTTAAGATTGTGAAAAATATTTTTTAGGTATTTGATTTCAGTAAATGGAATAGTTGACATCATTTGAGTTGAGGATGTACATTTTTCAGTTGTAGTAAATTAAGGTATATGTTTCCTCCATACTTCGCATTGTGGTGTTTCATGGAAACTATTTAGTGGTCTTACTATTCTCGCGCACTCATGTCATCAGCTAAAGATGAAGTTGTATATATATCATCAAATTCTAGTAAAGATGATGATGTAACTCCTACCCATATTATACTACAGTGAGAATCTAGGTGTACTCTGTGGGGGATTCGAAACAATCAAATCGAACCATTGCCCTTCCGGATCTTATTAGAAAGTTGAGCAAGAAAGAAATTCACTACGAATCAAAGATAAAAACTTGCAGAAATAAGAACAAGAGAGAACACACGAATTTAACGAGGTTCGATAACGTGCCTACATCCTCGGGAGCCACACCACACAATCTCTTTGATTAATTGAAGAATGAATACAAGCACTCAAACAAGGGATTAATCTCTCTGAGATTCTCTCTTTTTTTTTCTCTTTCTGATGGTTTTTCACGTTCTCATTAGCCTTAGAAAACATATAGATATATGAATCCCAGCTCAAATAGAATTCAAAACGGATTAGGAAACTACCAGCTCGACTCGCGGTCGACCGTTGAACCAGTCGCGGTCGATTGGATAAACGACATAAACCTAAAAATGCCTACAGGGTCTCGCGGTCGACCGGACCATCTGTCGCGGTCGACCGGCAAAAGTCCAGAGACTTTTCCTGTCTCGTGTACGTTCGCGGTCGACCGCACCAACCGTCACGGTCAACCATACGTAGATTGTCTTGACTGTTTCCTTCGTCTTCCTTATTCCAGCTTCGGCTTCAGCTTTGGGTTTATACTTAGACTAACAATCTCCCACTTGAAGATCAAAGCACCATCAGCGAGTTCACCCGAACTGTTCTCTTCTTTGCAAGTATCTTCTCCTTCCCGAAAAATCCTTTCTTCAATCATCAACATCCCGATGATCTTGTCGATCCTCCTAGTGTGGCTCCACCTTCATCTTCTACTCGTGAAGACCAACTGAAGTTGCGTACAACTCCAGTTTGTCAATGGTGACTGCCTTTGTCAACATGTCCGTCGGATTTTGACTCCTCAAAATATTCATTAAGTGTAACTTTCCATCTTCAATCAGTGAGCGTATGAAATGGTATCAAACGTCGATGTGCTTCATTTTGGTATGATGAACTAGATTCTTGGCAAGATGTATAGCGTTCTGGCTATCACAATAAAGAACGCATCTACGTA